GGGGTCATCGCTAGGAGGCCTTTGCTACTAGGTTGCAGGTCGTCGCTAGTAGGTTGGTGGTCATCGCTAGTAGGGGGTTATCGTTAGGAGGCCTTCGCTAGTAGGTTGGAGGTCGTCGCTAGTAGGTTGGTGGTCATCGCTAGTAGGTTGGGGGTCATCGCTAGTAGGTTGGGGGTCATCGCTACTAGGTTGGGGGTCATCGCTGTTAGTAGGTTGGTGGTCATCGCTAGGAGGCCTTTGCTAGTAGGTTGGAGGTCGTCGCTAGTAGGTTGGGGGTCATCGCTAGTAGGTTGGGGGTCATCGCTAGTAGATTGGGGGTCATCGCTAGGAGGCCTTTTGCTAGTAGGTTGGAGGTCGTCGCTGGTAGGTTGGTGGTCATCGCTAGTAGGTTGGAGGCCTTTGCTAGTAGGTTGGAGGTCGTCGCTAGTAGGTTGGAGTAGGTTGGAGGTTGTCGCTAGTAGGTTGGAGGTCGTCGCTAGTAGGTTCGAGGCGGTTAGTGTTGTTGGAATGTTAAAGGAGTCAGTGGTTGCGCCACGCCTTGGAGTCATCTTTGGGAGGCACTGCAGAGTAACCTGCTGGGGCCAGAAACTTGAACTCCTCCACAAAAGACGAGCATTCCACTTCTTGCATGCCTTAGGTTGAGCACGCTAAAGTGTGGACTGAGTGGAGTGGAACATTCGTCATGTAGCCTTCGCCCAGCGACAATAGACATCGGCGTCTACGCCACGAATCAATTCTTCCAGCTGCTGTTTTCGCCATGGCCAGGCTCTCAATGTGGAAGGAATGCTCGGATAGTACGGCTTCTGATCAAAGCCTGCCATCAAAATACAAATGAGCTGCACACCAAGAGAGTGCCAACGGTTGGTGCCCGAGTACCAACCCAACTTTCGCAGAAGCTATCGGTTGCTAAAATGTTGTCCATTTCATGAACATCCAAATACAAGAGTGCCACTCTAAGGCCTGAATAGGGCACAACTTGAATCCTGCCTTTCAAGAGCATATTGAAGGATACCACACTCATTTGCTGCGCAGAGCTCTTCAGTGGTCTCTGCATCAGCTTGGCTAGCATTTCCGCCTCTTTGCTAAGCGGCAAGGGCTTTGCGACTCCAGCATCGGCGATGGTGAAGCAGCTCACCAGGGGAAGACCCAGCACCACCAGATTGCGGGCATCCATGACTCATGATGACATGAATGCACCTACTTGGAAGATCTGTCCCTATTCATCGAGCTCGGACCCAAAAGCAAAGAAGTCCATAGATGTCTACTTAAGTCTTTCTCTTCTAGCTCGCCTTGTGTGAATCACACGTTGCGTCGAGTTGACTCATTGTCAGTCGGTGCTCGTAACTAAGTGTTTGGCGCTCCACCGGCAATGGAAAAAGTTGAACTCTGGAATTAGCACTGACCTCAAAGGTGCATCGATCTGTGCACATACTATATATATAGTTTCTTGTAATATATATATATATATGTTGTATTATATTGTAGTCATGTTGGGAGTAGAGTCGAGCTGCCAAGCATTGCCAAAGGATGAACTGAAGCCACAAGACATCGTGAGGGTTGGGCAAAAGTTTCGGGTATATCCGAACAGTGAAGCGGCGGTGGTCGTCCTGGCAGAAACAAATGTTCCATGAAAAAATGTGTTCGTCGGCGGATCTTGGCCTCCGCAAATTGACCACAGGCATATGCAAAAATGCCACATTTCCGGGAATGGCCGTGCCTCAACTGGTAGCACCGTCACATTAAACTCATTGCAGGTAAATTGTGATGAGTAGGTCCTACAATTATTGCATCGAATTCTTTGTGCAAGTGTCGCAGCACATGGAGCTCAGCATGCGGTTGAAAAAAGGAGTATTGCAAGAATACAAACTGCGTGAAACAACTTTTTGAAACAGTAGGTTCTGGACAAGTCCAGGTACATTGACAGCTTCGACTTGCTCTTGGAGACCTCCGCTCACACAATGACCGGAAACATGTCGCTCATAGACATAAACTGCAACGTTGAGCACTTCACCAGCTTCTTCAGCTTGTGAACCTTGAGAAGAAAACGACACACTGAATGAAGTGCGCCATAAGAAATTCCACCCAAAGGAAAGGGGTCATGATGTACGGGAAAAGCCAAGGCACAGCCACTAGTCAGGACCCCGCACGAAAGGTGAGTCTTTCGCAGCTCGGAGCATTCAAGGCAAATATACATATATATATATAATATATATATATAATATGTATATATATACGAGAGAACAAACCAATGACACTACTAGGGGCTCCTGGCATCACTACTAGGAACAATTACGCTACTAGGGGCTCCTGGCCTTACTGCTAGGAGCAAGAACGCTACTAGGGGCTCCTGGCCGTACACAGCGCATGGGAAAGCGACGATTTCGAAAGCCCTGATAGTCAACATAAGTTTCTTCATTTCTCAGTCGAACTCTTTGAGTCAGCAGTTCCAGGGTGACGGAGGGATTCAAGTTAAGGGTGCATCAAACGACAGTTATATACAGGATCAAAAGGCAAAACTACGCTTCGCACAACCCGAATGCGCTTTGGGGCAGTATTTGGTGGACTTCTAAGTGGAACTCAAGGATGAGATTGAATTCGTAGTAGGCGCAGCATTTTGAGGATGTCGCCACAGGTACAGCACTTGGACCACCGCAAATTGTCAACTTCATTCACGAAGCAACTATGGTCGCGACAATCACAACAGAACGTCAATACACGGCCAAAGATTCCATAACACCTCTTGGAAACATACCAAAATAAACTTAAACAGGAGCTTTCAGGCACGCCCTGGTTAGCATTGATTGCAAAAAGAATGTTTGAACTGTTTGAACCCTTGCTGCAACCTGTGAAGTAAATATAGCATCGAGAAAACTCATTTCTGTACAGGTTGAATCATGTCTCTCACCCAAGCCGTGGTCTCATGAGTCTAGTGGTTCTCTTCTAAACATGAACCCTTTGCTTGCTTTTCTAGACATTCAGTGTTTTTGGTCCTGCAAGTTGCTGACTTCGTTACAAGACCTTGCATCTTGCGGAATCGTGCAGTGTTCAATCTGAGAGCAGAGCTGAAGAATGAAGGACTTCGTGCGGCTGTTTCCACTGCCGGTTGAGGTCTGTGCCACAAAGGCCACATCGATAGTTGCCACCTCAGTCGGTCTGACGCCACATCTGTATCAACCTGTCAACAGGTGTCAAGGCCATTCTAGGCCTCTGGGGCTTAGGGCAAATGACCCCATCTGGGTTTAGCATTGGGACGCAAATCCACACCTCATTGCACTAAACAACAGAACAGCATGCTTGAGAACATAATTATATAAAGCTTGAAGGACTACGATCTTCCTGCATGTTTGCATCGTCCGAAGCATCGGCATGAATATGACGCGCAGTGTTGCTTGATGTTGCTTTTTGAATGCTTTTGCTTGTGTGAGGTCCAGACAAAGTTGTCCCGCAGTACCTTCAATCCAGACATTCCAAACGTGCTTTGCAAATGGTCGCTCTCGAACTACTTGCTCCTACCAAAAACCGCCAAATCGCCTGTGCTTCTGCCGTGGAGGACAAAAGAAAACCGATCAGTCCATGCACCAGCCAACTGGCATTGCCTAAGGCAATGATTCAATCCGATCCAGCTCCAAAAAGCCCTCCTCTTGCCGCTCCGCTCTGTTGTTTGCTCCACAAGGTACATCGACATGCACTACATGAACATGAACATTACATGAAACACTTAGAGTCTATACATTCAGTTGCCATGCTGCATTGGTGTGATTTCTTGCGTCCCACACTCGTCACTGTTCTGTAGGTTTGGCTTGGCTTCACACAGACTTGCGCTCGTAAACAAAACAACACAAAACTGTGGAGCAGTGCAGGACAAGGTGAACGAACACCTGGTTCTGGGATGTTCAGAATGAAGATATCTTGAGCTGCCCACTCTCGCCAGGATGAACCCGAGCACTGACAATGACCACCTTCCAGGTCCAATGTTCAATGCGTGTTGTTTCGCAAATCTTGAAGGAAAATCTGGTAGCGTTTGCCCATCTTTGGGCAGTCCTTCTTCGTCTTTCTGTCAATGCAGCTGTTCGTAATTGTCAGCATGTCGCAGCGGGCCTACAAACCAAATTGCTAAAAAGTGGCGCTTGACTGCTTGCACCAATCGTTGCGCTCATTGCACGCTTCTTCATTGCTGCAGCTCTGCATTTCAGGAAAGAAGAGACCCCGGTCAAAACGATCCCGTCACTTCAAGCCTCTTCAAACCACAGAAGACGCTTTGTGAACTATAGGTTTAGTCAGGCCCCCATATTCACCACACTCAAGCGACTCAAGCGTCAGCGAGGGCAACTCACCACTCATTTCTATTTACCAGGGCAGTGTTCTCTGGGTTTGGTCAAGTCCTCCAACGTTCATCAATACGAGCTGAAATCTTTTCTGGCTGAGATAATTCTCACCCGTTTGGTGCCTGCGTTGTACAATGGACACAATGGTGTTGCAATCCACAGAAATCTATCCACAGGACACCACAGGCCCCTAAACTCTGAACGATGCTGAACTGGCGATCCAAGCTACACCCCACCAGCCCTAAACTTTGCAAGGAATAGAGAAGGCAAGGCAAGGGAAAGCAGAAACAAACAGTAGACAATGGAACGACAGATTGGAGAGAAGGAGAGGAGGAAGAGGACAGGAAACGGGATGACAGTCAGGAGAGTTTAAGATGATAAAGAAAAAACAGTGGACAAATACGGCAAGAAGGACTTCGAAACTATTCCAAAACTCTCCTAGTCTCTATTTCCGTCCGATTGACCCCTAGTTCTATGTTGACGTTTACGGTCGGTCCTTCTCAGAGATCTTACATCTGCAAGTATGTTGCGTCTATGTTTGACCCCTTGCCGTCACAGGATCATCTTCGTCATAAACCAATGTCAGTACAGTACCCATGTCAATTCTGATGGACTCTGTCGATCAAAGCCAGAACAAAAACGCGCCTGGCCCACTGTCGCTGCTAAGCGTTTCAATTGGCAAAAAGATCTAGTGGCAGGATCTCTGACCAAATGATTCAATGTCCACCTCGGGTCACATGAATTCTCATGAGTTTTTCGGATGCTCCGCGGACATCGCCGCTGCGGCAGCTGAGATCCAAGAGAGCGACCGCAGCATCGAGTAAGTGTACGGTACCTCCCACAATCGATCAGTAAGTGTCATTAGCTTAAGGCCTAAGGATGTACAAAAAATATACACAACGCAGCTGGATCTCTTGACACTTGACAGATTCGTGCTGACTAACCAGTGCCCAGGTCGCATAGTATGCGAAGAAAACGCAATCATGCCCTCGCTCAAAGACGTAATCGAAGGACAGGGTGGAAATATTGCCTGCTTCGCATGTGCAAATGATTAGTTTCTGCCAATGCTCCAACTAGCAACCATAGCAATACAAGTGATGAGCACTTGGAGGCGGGCTGTCGCTTCCAGTCCTGGAAAGCCCAGCTCTTCCAGTGATGTTTTCGACCAACGAATCCGAACTGTCCTGTAGTATCGCACGTCCTGGCACTGCGAAAGAACACGTCCAAACGCAGGTGCATAATACATGCAGAATGCCCATCTGCCTTGCCCAGCAGAATGCTCATTTCGATTTTGATCGTCCAATTGCCACTATTTCCACCGGTCAAGACTTGGCCTCATAGTGGGATCTGCCACGACTAGGTGGAAATGCTGCTAGAGTTGGGTACAGTTGTTTCGCTGGGGAATGTGACTCACGCCGGGATGTCTATCGGGCTCTCCTCTCCGACTGGCTTCCAGAGCCCAGCAGCACCATCCCAAACAGAGTCCTCTGCACGACAAAAATAATCCAGCAGTAGTATCAAAGATTAGGTCCCATGAGTCAGCATGATTCCATCACCTGAAAATATGTCAGAACCATCTTTTCCTCTAAAACAAAAGATGAAAAACTGAAGCAGCATCTCTGACTGCTTTGCTGCATGATGTTCTTATGTGTTCCTTCACAAATACTAGTTTCTGAATCGTCCTTCTGGTTGTATGTATAATTCAATCGTTTTTTGTGCATGTGGCCAACGATTAATAGGTTTCCATGCTGGCAAAATATTGTAAATATGAAAAGTTATGCTGCATGCTCTGTTACATACTCAATCGGGAGAACCCCTCAAAGGACGGTCTGCCTCGAAGCACTTCTTGCTCGCAAACCTCACATCGAAGAGATTTATGATGCTACCGGTTGAGAGGATGGAACAAGAAGCTATTAGGAACAAGTGCATCGCTTCTAGTAACAAGTGCCTTACTAGTAGTAACAAGAAGCTAGTAGAAACATTATACAAATAGGAAGGTAGGTAGGTAGGCAGGAGCAGCAGGGGCGGGTTGTCGGAAATAATCAGCAGAAGCAGCAAACAAGCAGCACCAGACCTGCAGACCTGCAGCAGCGGAGCAGTCCCTGCTCTGTATTTTGCCAGGGCTGTCTTGCATTGTCTTGCATGGGACTTGCATTTTGACGCCCCACACCCCAAAAACACAGAATATGAAGACCTCAAGAAAACGCTGCTATTGCACCTTCAGATGACAGGCGATATTTAGCCACTCACAACGCGCAAAATCGTCGCCTCATTGTTTTTGAAGGCACCGTTCAAACACAGTTCTGATCCACCACTATCTGTGACATTGATTGCATGTTGCAACACATGACTGCACGCAACGAGTGCGAAGCACGCCTGAGACAATTCCAAAAAATGGAGGACTCCCCACATAATAGCTAAACAGGTACTGTAGCTGATGCGTACTGAAACTACTTTTTGCGCTGCCTTTCTCGGCACTTCGACCTGGGAGCGCGGCAACCTCCTCTTTGCATCCAGCTCCGACCATGCCACTGGTCCTTGAAAGGTGGTTCGGCATATTTCTTGGTGGATGTAAATGGAGACATAGGCTGTCTGACGCTGTCAACCATCACACTCTTACATCTCTTACCATCTCTTACCCTTAGGCCCTAAGGAGCCGGCTCATCCCCACGCGAAACAGGGCTTTGGGTTTTGACCTCGCGCAGGGTGAGCTCTGCCGTCTTGCAGAGTCTTGCACGACGATTCGAGACCAAGTACAGTAGGCCACCGGGCATGTTCACGATTCGAAGTCGATAAACCCGACCAGCTTTCGCATTGCGCACTGCCTCAAAAGTGCCAGTTAAGATGCGAAAAAAGTCCCGGTTTCTTTTTCACGACTGAGGACCTTGCGAAGTAAAACCACTGAGTGTGTCCACGACTGTGAAGATCGTGGTCCAAAAATAGAAGGTATTCGTCGGACTCTTTATCGTAGAGTGCCTGAGGTTGTAGGAAGAGCAAGGGTAGAATACAACGGTTCAAGTGTTTTGTGGTATTTCGTGAACTCCACGCTTGAACTTGAAAGGCCGCAAGGTGCGTTTCGAAACCCAATCGTGCTGAGCCCCAAGCACATCGTAGATTGCCAGATTCGAAACAGCTCGTGAATTCCAAGAGCTCCTCCATGCCTGGCGAGCCTCAACTTGACTGTGGGGTGTTTACGCCGACTCCAAAAGTAGTACCGATTCTTCACCTATTCATTTGGCCACGTCTGCTTCAGACAGTCATCACATTGCAGTACTGAGATGTGCTCCAGGGCCAACTGCCTTTTGACATTTGGCCACTTCCCGACCTCGTCATACTAAGCATGCCACTAGACTGACTAAAGCAAAGGACGCACAAAGTCAAAACACGCGCAATCTCTGAAGTATGCCTTCTTTCAAGAAGCCCAAACAGGAAACAAAAAACCTGCAAAAAGGAATGAACATAAGGCCAAACATGGCCTTGCAACTTCGGATTCAATGTTAGCACCTGAACTTTGTATTCAAGCTTGGCTTTCCTACGTCGGCTTCGTGAGGTGGTGTCAGTGCTTCTTGCACTTTCACTGCCTCACACTGAGTCTGGTGACAAGGTTGAGTCTGGTGACGCCGTGCTCACAACTAGCTTCTTGTTACTAGTAGTAACAAGTGCATCGCTAGTAGTAACAAGTGCTTGCCTTACTAGTAGTAACAAAAAGCTATTAGAATTAAATTAACTATATAATAGCTTCTTGTTACGTTCGTAGCGTCCTTGCTCCTAGTAGTGCCAGGAGCCCCTAGTAGCGTCGCTCCTAGTAGCGATGCCAGGAGCCCCTAGTAGCTTCTTGTTACTAGCTCACCAATGTCCAGAAGCAGACCTTCTCGACCTCTTGTTGTATTTCACTGCACCGAAACACTGAGTGCACTACCGGAATCGCTTCCATTTGCAGTTGGTGTTGCCTGACACTTGCAAGAATTGCTTGAAAGTGGGCAACGTGGCAACTACAAACCTTCCTCCTCCCGAGGTCATTTGTTTGGCTTTGTTGGGCGTTGCTTTGCGCCATTTGTCACGCTGAGTATAGTATTTAGTGTAAGAAGTCACATCGATCCTCTAGTCACTTGTACAGATGGAAGGATATAACATATCCGAAACACTTCGGCACGAGCCCCCCGCGATCCTAGCAGATAGAAACAGCTGTGCCATATCCATGTCACCATTGAGGGACGCAGTCAAGCTGAGTTTGTCAGTGGTACTAGTAGAGGAGCTCTTGGATCGGTCACGGGTACACCTGTGATAGCCGTGAAGAGAGCGACGCTTGGGAAAAAGGTAGAACGGGATGAGCGCTGCAAACAAGGATCAGGGCAACACGAAGAGCTTGGAGTCCTGGAGGTTTTCAGTGGAGAAGATGCTAGTGGGTATAGAAAGTGGAGGAGACGTGCTCAATTGTATCTGATGCCCTCCCTACGACTGTCCCGGAGAAGAAGTGGGGAGCTAGACTCTTAGAGCATTTGAGCGGAGAAGCCGAGGAATTACTCGAGGCAGTGGACATTGATGATATCACGAAGGAAAATGGATGGAAGCTAGTCCTGGACACCTTGGACGAGAAATACAAAGAAGCTTCCAAGGATGAGCTCCAGCGTGTGATGAAAGACTACTTCTACACCATTTGCGTGAAAGAAGGTGAGTCGTACCGCAACTTCATTACTCGTCTGGACACTGCCTATAAGGCCTTGGTAAGGAATGGAGTGGAGTTGCCGGAAGAAGTGAGAGGCTGGATGTTGCTCAAGAAACTGGCACTCGAATCCAACTCCGAGTCAATGGTATTGACGGCCAGTCAAGGTTCGGTCAAGTACGCAGACATCATGCAGGCTGTTCGCAATGTCTTCCCTCATGGGAGATCCATGAAGACTGCAAGAACCAAAGACATTTTTGTGGCCGATCAAGATGTGTCTCAAAGAAGGAGTGAAGAAGACCGATCTCCTAGGAGTGATATGGAACCCTTGGAAATCATGGAGACCATCGCAACTCAACTACAAGAAGCAGAAGACTATGAATCAGAAGATGCATTCGACACATACGAAACCTACACAGCTGTCAGAAGGAAGATGCAGGAGAAGAAGACAACTGTGGATACCGACCGACCTCATCGTCTTCGGCATCATCGTGGCAGTTGACAGGGACAATGAGAGGCCGCATAGAGGCTCTCAAACAAAAGACCAAATGTCTCTGCGAAGAAAGAGTGTCCATTGAAGAACAAAGAACGGAATTCAGAAAAGGAAGCTACTAGGGGCTCCTGGCATCGCTACTAGGAGCAAGGACGCTACTAGGGGCTCCTGGCCGTACTACTAGGAGCAAGTAGCTACTAGTAACAAGAAGCTACTAGTATCAAGAGTGATGACGAGACTTTCGACATCTACACGATTGAGGCCTCCATGAATGACCAGGAGCAGCAGGACAAGAATGTCAAGGACAAGGACGTTGAAATTGACAAGAACCAGGAGGTACCGAATGAGTAGGGCAAGAGCAGTGAACCAGAGAACGAGGCAAAGAGAACATACAAGAAAGATCATTGGGAGGTCACCAATGACAATGTGATTCGTCATCATGTGAAGAAGAGAAAGGGACTGTTCTCACCAGTTGGTATGACAGATGTGCCAGTCAAGATGGACAGCTTCACGGGCAACCGTAAAGTGGAGATTGAGTATGAGAACGGTGAGACAGAAACACTTCAGGACAACATCTATACTAGCAGAAAACCTCATGCAAAACAGAAAATGATGTGGATGGGGAAAACAATTTTGGAACTCAAGTCCACGAAGGAGAAAGTCAGTGAACAACCCAAGCGTCCAGAACTCAGCACGGAAGACTATGATGTGATGATTGCTCAATATGAACAAGATGTTCTGAGCGCCATGACGCGGGGGGCGACTGAGAATTCTCAGAATTTTCGGATTTGAAGCCCGCAGATCTGTGCGAATATGCTGTGCCAGACACCGCCTGTAGGAAGACTTTGATTGGGGAACTGATTCTTAGGGTCGACTGAATCAGAAGGGCGTGAAGTGAATGAGTTCAAATTTGGCAACGCTGGCACGTTGATTCTGAAGAAGTTGCACAGATCCCCATTCATTTGGGAAAGCGGCAAGTAGTAGTTCATGCAGCTGTTTTACCAGGAAGTGGATCTGGTACACCCTTTTTGTTTTCGAAGGAACTTCTGAGACAGTTGGAGTGTGTTTTAGAATTTTAGATATGAAGAGAGATATGTGTTTTTCGTCGGTTGAGTGAAACTCCAATCAAACTGAAACGCACTGCTCGTGGTCACTATGCCATTCCAATGATGCTGAGCCCAATCCCACACCAAGTGTCCGTGTTCATACTAGACTTCATTTGAGGACCCGTCGCAGGCGCAGTGGCCAGCAACGAAGGGACCCCCAGGAAAACCAATGGGCCGTATGTAAGGGGCAGGCTGCCTGTGCGAGCCCACCCTGCTTCCTTAGGAAGGAATACAGCTAAGCAAAAACCCCAAAACATTCGCGCATCATGCGGAAGGGCATTGGAAGGAAAGAACGGGGACCGCAGAAAGCCAGTGGGTCGCCCAGAAGCGCGATCCAGGGCATAGGGGTCACTCTGCAAAAAATGAAAAAGGAAGCCCACTGAGATGAAGGGACTGAATCAAACAGCGACAAGAGCTTGCTCTCACGGTTCCGACAAGGCTTGGAAGGTGGTAAAGTCGTCTGGAAGGCGGCGAACAACAGCTCTGGCGTTTTCCCGCTGCAAGGTGACACTGAACCCTTGCAGGAGCTGTTCTGTCAATCTGCTGGAGCGCTCACCCGTGCGGGCCGCGAGGAAACCGCCTAATTGCCGAAACACACCCAGGGCTGTGGGCCCCCATCCGCCGGCAGTCCCTTTCGCCACGAGAGGCAGGAACTGTCCCTGTGCCCGACACTGCGCTTCAGTCCGTTGGTGGATGCGTTTGCGCTCTTCATATACCAAGGTGGCATGGCCTCCGTTGCCAACAGTGGCGGGGAGCACACCAGAGCGAAGGCCGCTGGAGACGGCGAAATCGAAGGCGGCCGGGCCGTGAAGCCCCCATCCTGGAACCCAAACGTCTGCCGGTCGGCGTGCTGAAGCGCACGGCGGCCGCCCTGCTTCACAGAAGCCAGAATCTTCAGGCCTTGCCGGGAGCAAGCCGGGCTTCTCCAGCTCCGGGCTGAACCCGGCTGCCGCCAACTTGGCTGCAAAGAAGTTCCTCAGCCGGTTGTGTCTTTTGCCTCTGTCTCCCCCGCAGGGACAGACTCGAGCGTGGTCTCCAAAAGAATCAGCCACCCCGTCGCAAAGAGGACAATAGCCATCGGACGGTGCAATGGGGAGGCGTAATCTCAGGCGGAGCAAGACGCGGAACAAGTGGGTGTTGATGTGGAGGCCCAGATTGTCAGCTGGTAACGCAGTAAGCCACGCCCCAGCGCCCGGTTGTTGAACAAGCTGCAAATGGCCTTTGGCCGCTTCGCCTGTGGTAGAAACCGTCAAATGAGCACTTTGCGCCTTGTCCACTGCAGCCGACAAGTCCCGTTGCTGGTGAGATGGGGCCAAGGATGCGAGTTGATCCTCAGGCAAAACGGTTTGGTTATAAAGGGCCAGCGCCTGGCTGGCGGGTGGTGGCACAACTCGATATGACGGGTCCAGCTCTGTGCAGGGAGCACCAAGGTGACCGACGGACGCAAGGTAGGCTGCGGGTGCATGCAGAGCGAGCCCCAGCCCTCCAGCTTTGATAGCTAGGCTAGCTTGGAGCCATGTGTTCGTGGTCAAAGGCAGCCCGCCAATCCGCTCAAGGCACGCAAGCACCTGCTCATCGAAGGCTTGCAGGGAAGTGGAATGGCTGTGAGGGGGGGTGACCCGCATGGCGTGCGTGACTTTCACATGGGACTGGCAATGCCGAAGTAGTAGCAACGCTGTTTGCGCGTCGGGAAGGTCTGCGAGAGCTTCAAGGGAAGGCTTGGCCGGCGCCACCCGTTCGGAGAAGGTGTGGCGGTTGCAATAGGCGTCATCGCCAACGGCTGCCCCCAAGAAAGAGAAGTTGCCGGACGTGTTGACCCCCATTCCGGAAGGGAAGGATTGGAGCATCGCTGGGGTGGCTTGTCCGCTCAAACATACCAGTTCGCACTTGGAAGGCTCCAGCTGCAAGCCGATGTTGTGGGTGACTGCTTGCAGCGCTTGCAAGCCGCGGGCAAGTTGGTCCGCATCCCCGGCCAGCACCACGTCGTCTAAATATGCAAAGCACACGTCGCAGTGTCCCCGCGCGGCAACCAAGGCTGGCATTCCAGTGCTCGAGGTGCCCAGTCGAACCAATCAAGCCCCAAGTGATCGTCGCGATGACCAGCCAGCTGGCCAAGGAACTGATGGAGGACCTCCTTCAGGAGGAGACCAATCCCACAGAGTTCTTCGCCACCAGCCGCTTGGACAAAGAGAGCGATTACTCAGAGGACGAAGCCGAGAGTCCCTGGATGGGAACCGACATGTGCGAGGCTGGGAAGTTCAAGAACAAGAAAACCATAGAAAACCTATGCCCAAGTCTACCAGGAGGAGAAGAGCTATGTGCAGTGGGTCCGCAGTCACATCACCACCAAGTCCTGCCCAGGAATGAAGAAGCTTCGTCTCTACATCGAGTGTGTGGACAATGCCAAGAAAGAACGCCTTCAGCGTTTGTGGCAGGAGAAGAAAGAGATGCAGCAAAAAAAGGCAGGGAAGCAAATTCCAATGATTCCCAAAGCCAAGAGCAAGAAAGCTTCCACAGCAAAGGGCAGCAACGAGGTGAACGAGGAAGCCATCCAACAGGTGGCTGGATCCAACAGTTCGACAAGGAGGCCGGCATGGATCAAGAGGAAGAGTGGAACAGCGAGGTCAACTCAGATTCGGAAGCAGTGGCATCAGCCAGTGCGCAGCCCAAGACGCGCCCATACAAGAGCAAGTGAGCCAGAGCACTGATGAAGAGAGCTACTGTAGATCAATGGCACCTTCGGAGATTGAGTTCATCGATGGTGAGTTGGAGCGAGCCTGGACTAGGAAGTCCTCTGAGCATGAGCGTTTAGATGTCTTGTTTATAACTCCAGCTCAAAGTGCCAACGCTACTGTAGCTGAAGTATTTTCAGTGCCTCGACTTTGTAAGCTAGCCGAGGAAGCTGGCTTGAACTGTGGAGGATCATATGATATCCTAACAGGATGGGACTTTCGCGACAGCCAAAAGAGAGAAGAGCTACGGGACAAGCTGAGGGTGATGAGACCTAGATTGCTCATGTTGTGTCCTCCATGTGGTGTTTCTTCCCCCTTGCAGCAGTTCAACAAACATTTGGACATGAAGGCCTGGTTACAACAGGTTCATGAGAGTAAGGTGTTTTTTAGATACAGCATGCAGCTCGCAAAGGACCAGTTGGACCGCGGAGATCTTTTTGTTTTTCAGCAACCTCATGGAGCGCGATCCTGGAATGATCCAGCAGTCATTGCAGTGAGTAAACAAAACGGAGTCAAACAAATTGTGTTGGATCAATGCATGTTTGGACTTGCGGACCGGAGAAACGGAAAACCACATCGTAAGAGGACCCGACTCATGTTGAACAGTGAAGACATAGGGAAACGCATGCGTGTTTTGTGTGATGGTACACATGAGCATGAACATGTCATGGGGTCAATCAAAACGGAAAAAGGTTGGGTGAACAGATCTAGATTGGCTCAGGAGTATGAGTTTTGTAAGGGGATTCTGTTGGGACTGAAAGAGGACATGGAAAACAGAAGACAGAGTCATGCCACCCATTGTGCCTGACCGTTGAGGCCCTGGATACTAAGGATGAACAGAAAATCGCCGCATTGTTGCGTCGATGTCATGAGAATTTAGGTCATCCCTCCACAGCCAGGTTCGTTGCTATGCTGAAGGCCGCACGTGCTACAGAGACTTGCATTCAGATTTGCAAAAGGATTGACATGTCACACCTGCCAAGCCATTCACGGGGAAAAGAGTCACAACGTGGCAAAAGCCATCAAGGACCTTGACTTCAACGAAGTGGTATGTGTTGATACATTTGAAGTTGAGTTGTCGTGGGGAAAGTTGGAGTTGTTGAACATTGTGGACATTGGAACTCGATTTCAAATTTGCATTCCATTGTGGAAAGTCATTGAGGTGAAGCATGTTAGAAAGGCATGTCATTGAGGTGAAGCATGTTAGAAAGGCATTTCGAAGGTATTGGAAGAGGTGGGCAGGTGCACCTAAGACGGTTGTCAGTGATGGAGGTCCAGAGTTTGGAGCAGGTTGGACTGACCACTTGGCAAGCGACGGAACAGAACATTCGGTCACAGCAGCATATGCACCATGGCAGAATGGTGTTTGCGAAAGGTTAGGAGGTGCTTGGAAGGTTGCATTCAGGAAATCCATGTTGGAGGTTGATCCACAGTCGAAAGAAGAAGTTGAAGAATTGTGTGATCAGTTGAATTGTGCCCACAACACCATGACCAGGATTGACGGATTCTCACCTCATCAATATGTGCTTGGAGCAGATATGCGTGTGCCAGTGCTTGGGATGCTTGGTGAAGGGAATGAGACACAAGAGTCGGCTCTGCATGAAAAGGAGGATAGACATATGAAGGCTCAACAGATTAGATTAGCAGCCAGGAAAGCATTTCTGGATGCAGACAGTGAGAGTAAGTTGAAGAGAGCCATATGTCACCGAAGTCGACCAAACCGTGGACCATTTGAAGTCGGGTCCAGGAAGAGTGATTGGATCTCAAACTGAGAAGGTCTGGGTCATGTATGGTGCCAAAGTGTACAGATGTGCACCAGAGCAAGTGAAGCACGTCGATTCAGAAATCATTGAGTTGTCGTCGTGGTTGCCTATTACATTGCGGACGTGGAAGAGCACAATTCGAGAAAGAGGAGCAGGCAATCTTGTAGAGCTTGACAAAGAGAGATTTCCACCAGAAGAAGAGATAGAAGAGACAGAGAGCTGAGCAGGAGATCATAAATGATCAAGGACTGCAAGGAGGCTCAGAAGATGTGGAAATGAAACCGGTTGAACAGTTGGTTGGTGCCCATGTTGGAATGATTCCAGATCAACAAAATGATCAAGAAGCAGCAGTCGGAGCTCAGGATGTTGTCATTGAAACCATACAGTCACCAGCAGGCTCGGAACACAATGGTCAATTGTCGGTTGAGGAACCGGCAGAACCTTCGGGAAATGGAAACGAAACAAACGGAGGGACCCGGGTAGCTGGACCACGGAGAATACTGAATATGGACCTGTGAGGACTTCTTTGACACATGCCGGATTTGGGCGCGCCCGTTCGTCGTTCGTCGAATCGTGAGGTCATCTTGAGCGTCAAAAAGGGATGCAGTGTCATGTTTTGATGACTGAAACGGAGGAAACAAACGATGATGACCAAGAGACGATTGAACACGGAACGAAACTGAAACAAAGAAAGGTGAAACACAAAGAACTTCAAGAGAAACAGCTTTCCTTTGCGAAACGACAAGAGCTTGACAGAGCAAAAACAAAGGAATGGGGTAAAATCATTAATTCTGGATCCATAAAGGTACATATAGGTCAGGAGGCCAGGAAGATTGAGGATGAAGTAGGATACTGCAGTCAAGGTTTGTGTACACCTCAGATGATGGAACTCCAGAAGGAACACTGAAGGCCAGGTGGTGCGTGAAGGGGTATTTGGACCCTGATGTGCTTGAGTTGCAAACAGCGTCACCAACACTTAGCAATGAAGGATTTTCCATTGCTATTCAACTCCTGGCAAGCTACAAGTGGAATATGGTCATTGCTGACGTCGAGGGAGCATTCCTCAGAGGTGACAACATTGATAGACAGAAAGGCAAGATCCTAGTTCGCTTGCTGCCTGGAGGCGTTCCAGGTTACAATGAAAAAGAAACAGTTTGTGAACTGGTGAAGCCAGTATATGGACTGGTTGATGCACCGAGACTGTGGTGGACATCATTGACAAAGACAGTTCGAGAACAAGGTCTTCAGCAGTCAGAACTGGACAACTGTATATTCTACAGTCGTGACAGTGCCGGTGCCCTAAATGGAGTGATTGCATTTCATGTAGACGATCTGTTGGTAGGTGGAACAACTGAATTCTTTTCTGGACAGTTTGAACGGTTGAGGAACAAATATCCTTTTAAACATGTGAAACATGGTTCTGGTGAATTTTGAGGAAAACAGTTGAAACAAATGAGTGATGGAAGTATTGTTATTGAACAGAAGGAATACGCCGAAACCTTGGAGTGCATTTCAATGTCAAAAGAAAGAAAAGAAAAAGATAGTGAAACGACACCTCACGAGAGGACTCAGATGAGGGGAGTGCTAGGTGAGGTTCAGTGGCTGGTAACAGGCTCCAGACCAGACTCAGCAGCTGGTTGCTCACTGTTACAACAACGAATTGCACAATCTACTGTGAATGACATGATTGAAGTGAATCGTTTGGTGGCATTGGCTCGAGATGTTTCGAATGCTGAAATCCGTGTGAAATCCATTCCTCCAGAAAAACTGGAGCTTGCATGGTCAGATGCCAGTTTCGCCAATGAGAAAATGAAAAGCCAAGGTGGATATAGGATTTGTGGAACAGTGGGCACTAGGAAACAAGTGCCTTACTAGTAGTAACAATGTTTGCTAGTAGAAACAAGTGCATCGCTACTAGTAACAAGTGCCTTACTAGCCATGGTGGGCAACGATCTCACCTCTTCGTTGGAGAAGCTACAAACAATATAGACAGGTGGCTTCGACGTTGGGAGCTGAATTGATGACATCAAGAACGATAGCTGAATCCAAATGGATGAGATCCTGATGGGCAAAGGCCAGATTTCAGAACTACAAATTGGAAGAAGATCAAATCTGGAGCTCAAGAATTCCACTTACAATATCTGTAGATTCCCGACCAGTTTTCGATCATTTGAATGGACAAGTGATGACCATCAAAGACAAAAGAATGGCCATCGAAATGCTGTTGGTCAAGAGAGATGTGGCTCGAGATAATGTACAAGTACGGTGGCTACAAACTGACCACATGCTCGTTGACGGCCTGACCAAACTAGGTGTGAAGATGGATCTTCTCAGGAAAGTCTTACAGATGAACACCATGAGACTGACCGAAGATCCAACACTACTTATATAGATGGATTGGAAAAGCGCCCAAGAAAGGTTGATTGGAGTTCGTGTGGTTTGCATTTGTTTGAGTAAGAGAAAGCGAGATCCATAGAACTACAGGATCAAAAAGGGATGTGTAAGAAGTCACATCGATCCTCTAGTCACTTGTACAGATGGAAGGATATAACATATCCGAAACACTTCGGCACGAGCCCCCCGCGATCCTAGCAGATAGAAACAGTTGTGCCATATCCATGTCACCATTGAGGGACGCAGTCAAGATGAGTTTGTCATTTAGATGTATTTAGTGTGACCGATCTCCAAGTTGCCCTGCCTCACAAGGAGGCTCTGCCCGACCTAAGGCATCCAGATGATGGGAGTTGGGTCGTGCTGGCCAGTGCAAAGAACCTGCAACAATCACAGTATCACAAGTGCTCTAAAAGTCAGACATGACAATGAAGTATCATGAAGCTGTTTCCCTTACAGAAACTGTACGCAAGCGGCTTAACCTTTGAGAAACCATTGCGCTTGGCTCCACGGAGCTGTGCCTGGTGAAGGTGGCGCTCCAAAAATGGATCGTGCTTCGTCCACAGTCTCGTGGGGTTTGTGCTCTTCAAAGGGTCGGAAATAGCAAAGCAAACCTGCGAAATCAGAAGCAAGCAAATGCGCAACAGTGTGGGGCATGAAAAAAGGAATGATGCGAGAATGATGCAAAAGGGAATCAATCAAGTGTGGCAGTGTGGCAAATCGAAATGTGATAAAGAAGCCAAGCAGCGCTTCGGCGTTAGCCAACTGGCTAGGTTCAGATGTCCAAGCTCGCTAGATGTAGTGAGATTGCCGGTTGTTTCTGTAGCAAGGTAACTGGTGATGTCTGGCTTCAAGGCATCGACAAACTCCAGCTGACCTTCGAAAATCTCCCCACATCGAAAAGGTCTGCATGAACGATCTACTGACATGAATCACAAATACCACTTCAAAATCCTTCAAGATTGTTCAAGCTATTCATGGTGTTTGACTCTGCCTTCTAGAGCTCCCATGGCCATGCAGCGCCATTGAACGCACCTCTTTGTTGCTGCTTTTGTGCTTTCTCTGGCAACGTCCAGGGTCATCAAGTCGCGTTCTCACATGTTTCCTCTTGGAAAACCAAAGCACCCGTGTGATCCGTCTGTGTCTTCCCTCATCTTCATGTCTGACTAATGCAAGCTACCACCACATTATCATAAAAAGCAAGTAGGCAGTGTGGTGACTCTTCAAGTGGAAGAGTCTGTTGCAGGTGTTCATAGAGCCAAAGTAAAACTTTGACAGCGATCCCGGCACAACTTCAGTCGCTCATCGTGCCTACAACTGTGGACCCACATCAAGAATGCTGGTCACTCTAGCAAACAAGCCGAACGACAAGCCGAACGATGATCGGACGATCATCTTGGGCCTTTTCATGTCTTTTGCAATTTCAGCACTTCTGGCTGTCTCAAGCAGAGCATTCAAGCTGCACGTTGAGTGAGTCATCCTCAGCTTTTTCTGGAAGTTTCATGAAGGCCACTGCCAAACTGCAAAAGATATTGGAGACGACCGTCAGCATATACGGGGTCCAATAGATACCTCGCTTCGTACCAGAATTAGAAATGCTGGATTTCAAACCAGCAAATGCGAGGAAGCCTTGGAAGAGTCCCGAACAAACATAATATATATATATACTGTAAAGGAAAAGGATTAAAAAGGACTTCTTTGCAATTCGCTTAAGAAACCTCGATCCTGGAAGAGCACGAGCAATCTGCTAAAGATCACAGGACCAAGTCCTCCAGTCAAAGTCATGAGTGAGTTCACAGCACCTTGGACTTGCCCCATCTCTGAAGGCCCCACCGAGTTCATGTAGATCGCTTGGATGGCGGGTGAGAAGATCACACCAAGTCCCGAGGTCAATGCCAGGACATAGAGATCATGAAAGTTTGGCACAAAGCTAATGATGAGACAGTTTAGAGCGCCAAAAAAGTACCCCAGCAGAATGATACCCCGCACGGAGAAGCAACGTGCCAAATGCTTGACCACAAATACTTGAACACAGAGATTGCTGATGCCATTCAGGAAAATGATCGGAGCGACATCTTTGACGTCTGCGCCAAAATGCGCCTTGAGGTAGAACATGAAGACACTACCACATCCGGCATGAACAGAGTTGCTGATCAACATGAGAACTGTTAAGCCTCTGAACTTCTTGTTCACAAGAATACCCAGTTGGAGAAGCCTGCACAGTCTGGTGGCCGTTTCCATGATATCAAGTCATGACTTGTGGTATTACAGTGCTCGATTATGCTCACTTCAAGGAAACAACATGAGCAGTTAGGAGGTCCTTGAGGGTCGCGCAGCTGCAGAAAAGGATCTGCGCTGAGTCTCCTCCGAGCTTCCATAGCTGGTTCAAAGGCAAGTTACAACTCACATGAGAGTACATTCATTCGTCACAAAGCAAATTCCTTCAGACAAGAGTCTGAAATCGACTCGGGCATTCCAAAAGTTGTCACTACGACCGCCAAGAGCGACAAAAGAGCTGACAGGATCAAGCAATTCCTGGCAGGCTCTTGTGTGTTCCCAGTGTGTCCATGCAAACAGCCCCTAGCCTGGGTTTGCTTGTTCAGATCCAAACGCGCTTTGTAACAATCGGACAAATGTATTTTGTTTACACGTCAAAAATCCTGTGTTTAGTTCAAAAATTGGTTGGACAAAGTTCAACAGATTCCACTTGGCATTGAATTCCCGAAGCCCTTGAATCCGTAAATATTGTCTATAAGCTTCTTTTTTGAGTGTATTCCCTCCAGCCTTTTGCTTGCCACCAAACTTGCCAAAGGTGTGACAATCTGCTCCACATCCATAGCAGCAGCAAGGGTTGCAAAAAAGGCAACCCGCTGCTCTGGAGTAGTTCTGTCTGCAATCCACAAGAAGAAGACGACCTGCGTTGATCAGCTTGGAACTCTAGTTATGCGCTACCTGTGCAATTGGAACTGTTGTGAGTCAAACTGTCACACTCCAGCCTGACCACAAAATGAAGCCACCACAATGGAAAGGCAAAAGTAGATGTAAAGGGAGATGCCCAAAACATCTACAGCCAGAAGAGACAGCACAGCCACCAGATTTGCAATTTGGCCGAGAACCATCATAGGTTTCCGACCAAGTCGATCACAACAAAGAGCTATGAAAGGACTCGCGATAAACACGCAGATCGATCCGAGCAATGTAAAATTGGAGCCGATACGGCTGCCTCTGCTGAGAGCTGCTTTACAGGCAGGTGAGTCGTGTGCCTCTCCAATGCATGGATCTGTCCCGCCATTGAAAAATGCTGTGGGCAAGGCGGGCAAAATGAGACCATTCAAAACACCTGAAGCAGCGACAAACACCACTGACAACCAAAATGAAGGCCAACCACTGGAGCAACGGCCACTCGAGCCATTCGGACCATCCATGGTCTTTCGTCGAGGCGCTAAAAGAAGGTCTCAACACGTAGTATGCGATGTGAGAACTCATGACCTTCAGTCTTAACATATGGTGTTATATAGGTCCATGGTCCATAGTAGTCTTAACATAGTCTATTGATGTTTTCTATACATGTTCTCCGATCTAACACCCATCTAAAGGTCCAGATAGGCAACGCGAGGAAACTCTGAGTCTGCGCACCATCTTCAAGAACTCACATACAGATTGAAATGACCCATCCTTGCTTCCTTTTGGGGATATGTTGGCAGGCAGCACTTTGATGCTCGAGCACAACAGCACCGGTCACAGGCTCAAATAATTCACTGGCACAACACATCAGAAAAAAACAGTTGAAGCGTGCAACGCAAAAGCGCATTTTTCACCACTTGCTTCTGAGGGAGCTTTGCCTCAGCGTGTGGGAAGCGTGTATTTGATCAGCTTTAAACTTCAAACGTCTTCAGAATCTTGTCGAGACAAAGTACTTGGACTTCATGTCTATTTGGTCAGCTTCACACTTCAAACCTCTTCTTCAGAAGAATCTTGTCGGCACAAAGTGCTTGATGACAAATGAGTGAAAGGATCTTTGGCCACTGCATGCAGGAAGTCAATAATATCAGGCTCATCCGATTCACTGCTGGTTGTATCATCTTGGGCTTCGAGGTCAAGGGACATCATCCTCGTACAATCGACTTCAAACGTGTCTGGACAAGGAGCTTCCTCTCCATGCACCAAGATAACGAGCCCAAACATCATACCCATGATGCAGCTTGAATATCCCAGAAGCTTCCACCATGGTTCACCGTCCATCTCTTGTAGAACAATCAAAGCACTTAAACTATTTGACAGAATATTGGAGCCTTGAAAGACCGTAACCATGAAAAGTGCTTCGTACTTCTGCATACCTTTGGCCATATATGGCACATTTGCGACAGCAAAAAAAACAGCGCCAGCAAGAACCACCCATGGAATCCAATGGCTCCAAGCTGCACAATCGCCAGAAACACAGTCAGCAGCAAGCGCCGCTGCAACCCTCGTGCACCACATGTTCCCGGCCAACGATCCTGCTGTTGCGCCCAGTGAAAAGCCCCGAATAACTGATCCATGTGGTGAGCGCGCTCGTATCCACACATTCAGGAGGAACCACATTGCAAAAATGGTCCCGTAGATCACCACACGAGGGCGACCCAATACATCCTCTGTGCGTTCCAATGACCAAACCTCTGTGTGCGCATTCTTGAAAAAAATAGACAATGTAGCTGTGATAAAAACGATGACGGCACTTGCACATCTGCGGCAGGTGAGCTCCTCCCCAAGCATGAACGGAGCCACCAGGGTATTGATGACAATGTTGAAGCCGGTGAAGGGAGCGATGACGGCGGCAGGAGCGAAGGCATAGCCGGCAACGTCAAACGCCGGACCCACCAGAATATTCATGGCCATGCCAGCGAGGAAGAAGAATCGACCTGGAGGTGCCGACCCTACGAATCGGAAACTACCAGAAGATTGGGTGGAACAATCTGCAAACTGCCAATGTTATCGTTTTGGAGGGATGCTTATGGCTGTTGTTAGTCCCGAGCCACACTTTGAATGTATGTGAGATCCAGCCTTCCAATAGATTGCCGCTGTTCTTTTTCAGCTCAGAAATCCTGATGAAGTGCATGCCAGCCGTGCCAATTGCAAGGCCGATCAACACCAGGGCCACACCCATTAACCACCTCATGATGAAAATTGAGAAGTAGCTGTTGGCAACTTTGAGCAGCTAACACCTGCATTTTTATGGATAAAGTCTGTCTTTGGACAAGCTTCATATGACCAATGGTGAATCAAGAATGATGACAGAAGCCATGAGCTTTGTGCTCAGAATCTTGCCTGACTTGCTGAGCTTTGCTCAGTTCAAATGATCATTGCTTCGGATAGATGTCCTTTTTGTCTTCGATACTTTGCCACTCTTGGTCTCTTGAGATTTGGTCTGGTCGAGAAAATCTCCTATCTTGACCTCACTCGTCTCAGTAGACCTCTTCCTTGCCAAAGTTTCTGAGCCGCCCCAGGAGGTTGCGAGCAGCTGATCTGGCCTGCACGAGCTGCAAATGTGCAGTAAGCAAGAAGGCAACTGCTTAGTCAACTGAATGTGGATGACTTTAAATTACACATTACTGGTAGCGCCCTTGCTCCTAGTAGTAACGCCAGGAGCCCCTAGTAGCGTCCTTACTCCTAGTAGCGATGCCCTTTGCTTCTAGTAATTCTGGTAGCGTCCTTGCTCCTACCAGCATCGACCCCAAACAGCACTTGTTCTCATTTGAATTCATCCATGGCATACACCACCAACATGGCGCAACAAAAGCATGACTCGGTCTTGTCATGTCCTTTCAGAGCACATAGTTGAGCACTTTTGGAGGCGCATCTGTGCACTTCACCGCAAGTGAGGTTGCATGTTGGAAGGCATATGTAAATGTAAATGACTTCTCATTCATCTAAGTGGGGAAACACAGGGGAAATAATCTCATCTCGTGAGAGGATGCCAGTCGGGAGACAAGAAAGGAGAAAGGTGCGTGGAAGGCAAAGCGAAATCATCTCAGCCCAGCATCCAGAGCGCCGTGGGCCATGGGAGACAAAGGAAGACAAAGTGGAGACAATCATAATTATCTCAGCCCAGCATAGCCCAGCATCCAGAAGAGACAAAAGGAGACAAAGCGGAATCATCTCAGAAACCAGAAGGGCATGGCAGAATCACCTTGGCCTAGGATCGTTTGTATGCAAGAATTGAGAACCCCTCACAGCAAAGCTTTTTGGGAATAAGAAGAACTGAAAAACAATCATGAAAAATGTAACGGATTGTGCCAAATGAACGACAAGAGAGTTGCGCCTTGGCGCGATTGGATCTGCGTTCTTTCACGCCCCATGTGCCCGGGCTCATTGCTGGGAGGATCCAAACTGCACAATTCAGCGAAACGAACCATGAAAAGAATACCAGAAAGTTCCAAATGAACCATTGAAATGAACCATGTATTGTTTGGTAGCGTTTCTGCGCACTGAATGCGGCCAGTAAAAAGAGAGGAATGAACCACTCATTGAAGTAGTCCTCCAAAGGACGCTCCTGGTATGGCAGGAATGGATGTTGTAGCCTTTGAATAGAAATGGGGCCAGAACAATGCAGCAGCGCACACAGAACCATCTCAATCATGCTGCGAAACCTTCGGCTTAAACCACTCTTCTTGGATTCGTTTGGCGACCTCGGGCTCAAAACGTTCGTCAAAGGTCCAGCTCTACACAAATAGGACGTGTGAATGTGGTTCCATTGCGTTAAAGTTTGTTAAAGCTAGCTAACCGTAACTCCTTTAACTTTAACTCAGGAAGGAGCAGGGCTGTCGTAGACAGGGTCGTACGGACGCTTGGGAGGAACCTTGGCAAAACTTTGGGTGTGTGTGACGATGTTTCTCTTGCATCCAGTATCCAAGTCACATAGTCCTCTGGAAGCCTGAGCGCAGGCAAATCATGCCAACGATCGCAGTTAAAGCTTGTGGTGAACCATGATGCAGCAAATGCAGCGTTTGCAAACCCTTGCGCCAGACTAATAAGCACATGCTCAGGATGTCTGCGTTTGTGCTCTGAATTGTTTGCCAAACCACTGCTGCCACGGGAAGAGCGCTCTCACCGCAACATTTCTGGAGGGCTGCTGGACCTGTCATTTCGCACAATCTGCACAAGGTCAAACATTGTGTTACTCATGTGTAACATATCCCTCTTGCACAGTTGTAGCCAACATGGATACAGTTGTTCTTTAAGCGGTGCTCTTTGACTGAATTGGTGTGTCAATCAGCCGTGGTGACGCCAGCGCCGACAAAGGTCAACACACTCCTTGGCATGATGCTTCAGGCTGAGTGGATGGGTGAGTGCAGTTTTCCCAAAACGAAGCTTTCGCTGTTTAAGTGCTTAAACCAATATCCGAGATGTTCAGGAAACGAGACTTTTTGTTTGTGTTTTTTGCTTTTTCTAGGTATCACCTTGGGTCACACACACACACACACAGTAGGCCCAAACAACGGAGCAGATAGCATGGCCAAAGCTTAGGATCGTGCAAGGTTGCGCAAGCCTAAGGATACTTCACAGGATTCAAAGTGCTCTACAAGACGCATTGCACCAGCTTCCGAACAAGGCGACTTGCAAGCTTCGGTCAATGAGGTGCCCAGCCACTGCAAGGCCACATAGGCGGCCCCCTGCTAGCACTTGAAACAGCGGCTAAGCTGGTTATCAATGGCCATCATATTTCTGACGGCCCTAGAAAGCATTGAGGTGCCAGAGACCGTTGAAAGCAGCTTCGGCATAATCTGTTGAGGATTTTAATTTTTGGGTTGTCTTTTCCAGCCCTGCCTCGGTCACCCGCCATTGTGGCTCAAAGAAATCCAAACAGAACGAATGAGGCGATTTGACAATCAAACTCATGGAACCCAAGGAGAGGTGCAATAAGATGTGATGAAAATCTTGGTTCCAAATTATCCTTTGATCTGAAAGGATCTCTCGATAAACAAATGCCTCACGACCAATTGCGCTATCAAGAGTAATTAAGAGATCATGTGCATGGAACAGCTGATCTGCAGTGGCGAAAAAAAATCAAGCGCTGAACCAAAACATCAGCCAAGCATTTGAAAAGCCACCCACTCCGACCGCTTGGCCTCAACTATTTGATCACTCAGGAACTGAAGGATCTTGGACGAAAACTACCGACCAATCTTGACCTACTTTCTTTTGAAGCCTTTCCACGTGATGAAAACAATTTCTGTCAGGCAAGTCTGAGTTGAACCTCATCTGAAGATGAATCCACTTGTTCCGGGAAGTCTTTCTAGACGTTTTGCCTCGCAAGGTTTCCTCTGGACACCAGTCATATATATATATAGTAATTGTTTCGTTGCGATGGTTAGAAGAAAAAACACGTCGTTTCTGTGAAGGGTCACAGCATATTCTGCTGCTTACTAGTATTGCTTCCTCCAACAGAAACAACTGAACTCACTGTAATTAATTAATGAGTAAGATGCAGAAAGTGTTGCCTTATCGCGTCTTCCAACTTCCTATCGGTTTGATGATAGGAAATTGATGTTTGCCAGTGCCAAACTGTTAATTCCTGTAAATTCCTTTTCTTCGAGACTCGCAACCACCCAGTGAGGGGCGGTCTGTCCTTCAAGGCCTGTACAACATGAGAGGTCTGGTGAACCTCGCTTGGCCGAAAGGAGCCACCTCCTTTGGCTTGGGGGAAAAAAGACAATCCAAGGGCTTCAAAATGTTTAGGGGCTTCTTTTGCTTCAATGTGAGGATGCTAACAGTTCAGAGCAATTGTTGGTTTTTCTTTGGGTATCGCTTCGCAGACCTCCGGAAGGAATGCAAAACTGAGAACTCACTTCAACCAGGTCGCTTCAGCAGGGCCTCACAAATATACCCAGTCAGGCCCAGTCACACATCATAGTCATAGTTGTCCTTTAGCCATCCGTTCAATAAGTTTGCCTAGTTGCGTTTTGTCCATGCTGTGTCATCTTCAAGTGAGCTGCCGATAACAAAATGCTTCAAAAGCTGCATCTCAAAGCTTTTCCCGTCGAAATTAACCTGCACAGGATGTGATCGAGAACAAACTATGAAAATTTACGATGAATGCAAATTCACCTGAAAGTGCCACGTCTCCCCATATGTGCTCACATCGTCTGTCAAACAAGATCCCATGATGCCAGTTGAATGGCTCAACAAAGAGCAAACCGTTGACATGTTTGCTGATTGAAAGCTGGTTGACACCTATTCAAAGCTTTGCAGAAAGCTTCGCAATGACACCCTTGCCTTCACCGGCTTTTTCGAGACCTTGATGAGACCATCAAGGTCGTAAGTCTGCAGGTACCTTCACGTCCAGGACATCTGGCAATGTGTTTTTGGTGGAAAAATCATCCACCAAAAGCAGAGAATTCAAAGCTATTGGATTCTGCATACAAGGTCAGTGAGCTGGCTTCTTTTCACACATTGAAGCTTCGCAGCTAGCTCAGACTCCAGACTCGCGGCAAGCAGCTTCAGCTTTAGGGTCATGTTTGGTTAGTTCCTGGCGTGCTAAAATCGGGTATAGAGTGCGGCAACAAGAGCAAGCGAAACCAAAAGCATTCCGAACATAATTATCCACTTTAGCAGACCTTCATGGCCGTCGGGTTGAAGAAAGGGCCACGGGCCTCATGGCAGAGAATGGCAAGCAGCAGGCACCAAAAGCTAGATTTTCACATGGTTTTCGGGATCCCAAAAGAGCCAAAGAGTCAAACGGTGATGGATACCACAAGTTCATCATCGTCTTGGATGACAAAGCTTTCCTCGTTGATCAGCACCTCGCAGAACAGGTGAACAAAACTCACAAGAAAGGAAAAAGGAGGCACCATTGCCACTAAATTTGAACCCAGTTGGACTGCAAGGGTGAAACAAACTTATATAGCGAAACCGTATCTCCGCCCGAAATTCGCTGCTGGTTTTATTTAGGTTTGTGTTGTTGAGGGATTGAAGTCGTCACAACAAGTGCGCCCCTTTGAAATGTGGCAGGTTTTGAGCCCAAGCCTTCATTTCAATCTGCTTGTGATGTTTCGATTGTTCCAGTTCCAAATTGGAAGATTGTGCATTCCAGCAACTGTTGGCAACATAATCATCTCTACCAAGGCTGTCATGTTTAACACATGTTAACAGCATCTTCTGGCGACACAGTGCATGCGTAGACCAGTCAGACCAGCCAGGCCCCATGTGAAAAAAGGGCCCCCCGAG